AACATCGAAAATTATGGATATTTGCAGCCTATATCCCATCCGAAGAAAATACGGATGCCGATAGAGAGTCCAGAACGAAAAATATTGATACAGAATAGGAATTAGCAGATTTCACGTATAATAAAATTACTAAAATTTTTGGGAGAGCCGGAAATTGATCTGTTTGCGTCAAGGGCGAATACGAAGTGCAAAATTTTTTGTGCTTGGCACAAAGACCCAGACGCGTTTGCTATCGACGCCTTTACAATTTCATGGAGGAAATATTTTTTCTTTGCCTTTCCGCCATTCTCAGTGATACATAGAGTACTAAATAAGATTCGTTTAGAACAAGCCGAAGGAATTGTGGTTGTTCCATTATGGACTTCTCAACCATGGTTTCCTATATTTAATTCTTTATTAATAAGTGACCTTATAAAATTTAGACTTTCAAATTCCTTGCTCTTGTTTCCTTGCAGAACCCAACAACACGAGTTATGTCACTCGCTTACCCTGGTTGCAGGACTGCTATCAGGGAGGCTTATCGAAGACGAAACCTCACGGAACCGACATTAGAAATTCTCATAGCCTCTTTGGCTAATGGAACTATTAACCAATACAATGTCGCATTGAAGAGTTGGTGGAAGTTCTGCAACGAACGGAGCTATAATCCGTATGAATCGAATGCAATCAATGTTTTAGAATTTCTTACCGAAAGTTTTAACAAGGGAGCTTCTTTTGGCACACTCAACTCGGCCAGATCAGCTGTATCATTAATATTATCAAATAGTATTACTAATGATCAAATAATTCACCGTTTTTTCAAAGGGGTTTATAGATTACGACCTTGTCGTCCTAAATATAATAAAATCTGGGACATTTCAACAGTGCTAAAATATCTGAGTAATTGGCATATAATTGAAAATCTAGATTTCGGTCAGCTTACGGAGAAAACAATTATGTTATTAGCCTTGGGCACGGGACACAGGGTGCAAACCTTTTCTTTGATTAAAATAGAAAATATAAAAATATCTTCCGAGGGTATCGAAATAAAAATTCCGGATCTCATTAAAACATCAAAAGCAGGAATATGTCAACCGATATTTTTCCTCCCTTTCTTTAAGGAAAAACCTGAGGTCTGTGTGGCAAAAGCAGTTTAAAGATACCTTGAAGTATCTAAAGATCTTAGAGGAAATATTACAAATCTATTTATATCGATTAAAAAACCTTATAAAGCGGTTTCAGCTCAAACAATTAGTCGTTGGCTAAAAACGGTGCTTGTTAAAAGCGGTATTAAAGGTTTTACCGCGCACAGCACGCGACATGCATCTACATCTGCAGCTTTTAAAAAAGGCATAGACATATCTATTATTAAAAATGCTGCGGGATGGTCAAGAGACTCTCAAGTCTTTGCCAAATTTTATAATCGCCCTGTTTGTTCTGAAAAAGAAAATTTTATTTCTTCGGTTCTAAAATAACATAATTTTTATATCATAACATATTTATAAGCCTAAACCTGTTTATGTTAAAGTTTTAAAAATGCCTTTCACATTTAGTAAAGAAAAACGAAAGAAGGAAATTATTATCTCTAAACATCTACATTTATTAATCCCGAGAACAAGGCGAGAAATATAATTATACGATCAAACGAACTTACCTTAAGTGAAGTTCGATCGTAATTATATGACAGCCCCGTTCGAAGGGATTACACTCCCACCCTTTATATATTTCCCTATCCCTTTTTTCTTGGCAATAATTTCCTTTAAAAAACAAGCTCTAAAAATATGAAGCATGCAGGAGAATGAACGAAGGACCCAGCCGTCCTTTCTTTTTCTTTGAACTCTGAAGTTTGTGGCGATATATATATAGAAACTAGCGTTACTACATTTATTAATCCCGAGAACGAGGCGGGAAATATAATTATACATATGACCACTGCTTTGTTTTAGCATTAATCCACGTATTCTTTGCGAATTATTGAGTAAATTTAATTTTGTCCTTTCTTTGTAGCTGATAATGAATTTGTATGTGTTATAATCGTCTTTACAAGAAATTAATTGTATAACAGCTAAGATTATCATATCAACATCTATTTATATATTTACAAATGTTTTTAGTCGATAATAATTTAATAATCTTCCTGTATAGAGAATGTTATTGATTATAAATGCTATCGGTCTCAAGAGAGCCCAATTATCGATAATTAACTATTCTAATTAACTGTGTAATAGATTCAGTACAATGAGGAAATATGGTCAGATAAGCGTTACAGGAAAAACGGCGGCGTGGCCCCTCTCAGGTTTCTCTCTGGTGATATATATCAAGTCAGCCCAAGCCATTGATAGCGATCGACCAGTCGATCACGACGTGATTCTTTCAATTAATCGATCGCGGCGTGATTCTAACCCAGTTAAGAATATATAGTTGATATGACGTCAAACTAATGTCGAAAAACAAATGTTAAAATAAAGTTGAAATTGTGATCAAATCGACAATAAAATAGTACAAATTGTTGACTTTCGACTATCATTTCGATAATTTCAACGTTAAATCAACTAATTAATTATATCCAAATGCTTTGCAAATTAAAACTCACTTCAGATGATCTTGTTTAAATTATAATTTACGACAAAATTAAAGATAGAATTCTCTCTATTAATTTTATTAAATAGAGATTACTTTTACAAAAAGAGAGAATAATCATATAAAAATACATATTACTCATATTTTATATGTTACATATATAATAACAGAATTTTATTTTAAATTAAGTTGCAAATTATATATCGTGTAAAAAAAGTTTTATAAAATCGGAAAAAGAAATTATTTTAGAATAACTATATTAGTTTAGAATGAATATTGTCAGTTTATTATTAATTTGAAATATTACTCAAAGTGTACGTAAATATAATATTTATTTTCTTTAAAAAGAAAAAAAGTTAATATATTAAAATATCTATAAGAAATTTAAATATAACAAACAAATACGATAGTAATAGAAAAACATGTATTGCATATATCTCTAGTTAATTATAAACAGAAATAAAAACTAAATATCATGTACTCTCATTGCAGTTTTTCTCAGAGGCAATATTATAACTTTGAAGAATTTTTTTAATCTTCATAAAATACTTTAAAAAAGAAGGAAGTACGGTGGTCGATCATTGTGTATCTGTCATAAAAATCGATCATACTTTAGTAAAGGTTGGGCACACTTAGTTAGTATATACATATATACCAGGTTCATCGTCTCCCATATGCCAGCCGGAGAACGCATTCCATCCTCGTGTTTCACCGACGTCGGAACCGTTAGTTATCCCTCTCTGTTCTCCCTTTCCATTACCGCCCATACCACTCTCTCTCTCTCTCTCTTCGCATCCTCCTCTCCACTCCACCGACCGTCGTCCTTGCGCACCAGTGCCACAGTACTTGCGTCGTAGCAGCCTTGCGTGTTCACAGAGCGACCCCACTACCAACCAGTTCCCGTTATTGGTGTAGTCCGCCTTGATACCTGATGCGGCAACAGTTGTTCCTCGCTCATTGTCCGTCTTAGTCTCTTACCATCCATTCATCTTTCTCACGTCTCCCCCCTACGTCAACTCCGTTGTGTGCGACAGTTCTCCCGTTTTTCTCTCGCACGGGTCTTATCCGCACGCTTGATAAAGGCGGCAGTGTCAAGGTCGGAGTGCGTGCGAAGAAGCAAAGAGCGAATGTCAAAGACGCTTTAGTGCAGTGCTGCACGAGTGAAGGGATTGTTTGGGTCTCTTCTCCTCTCTTTCTTTCTTTCCCGCCTGACCGTCATCATTTCTGTCGAAATATGTCCATCATCGTTGAGTGCTTTCGCCGTCTGACGGATGGATCGTCCTGCAAAAGCGAGGTATGCGACACACGTGCTGCTTATCTTGCATGGCAAATATCGACTGACTCTGCTTCGTGATATTTAAGTATCCATATGTCAGGGCATAAAATAAAACGCGTATTTTGATTGTGTTTTTGTGGATTGTTGGTTAAACAATTTTTCTGCAAATTCTTATTTTAATTAATTATATTAAATGTTTATTTTTTTTATTAAATTGTAACTCTCTGAAATTAAGATTTAAAAAAAGATTTGTATTTATCACAAATTTGTGATAAATATCCAACTATTTTACGTAATAACTATTTGCTCTTCTACATCTATATCTATATTTATTCTCCTAATATGTGTATTGAATTATAAGATTTGTACTACTAATATTTTTACAAAGCTAATATCTAATTGGTATAACACCAATTTCGTCGTTAATTAGCAATACACATATATATATAAGGGAAGAAAAAAGGAATTGTTGAGTTTTAGTATCAGCTTCATTATTTATGACATTTGCATTTTGTCGTGACGTGTCAAGTGGCCTCAACTGGACGTTATTGAATATAAAATGTGGGTCACTCAAAGAAAATTGTGCACACTCGTATAATTCTAGGTACCTCCATCCCTGAAATCTAATGGCCTTGAATATGCTACTAAGAGCAATTACTTAGTTATTTGTTTTAGTTTTTTTTTATAAAGGGATTGTAGCTTAATAATATAATATAATATCTAAAAAAATTTATTTACATTTTTAGAGAAATATTATCAATAAAATTCTATTCTAGCATCTTTTATACAAAAAATAGCTATTAAAGCGATTCTGTTTCCTTGAATATGCTACTAAGAGCAATTACTTAGTTATTTGTTTTAGTTTTTTTTTTATGAAGGGATTGTAGCTTAATAATCAAAATGTACGTATTTTGCGAGCTTATAAATCAATAAACAATATTTAGTTGCGAAATAGTTAATTTTTTTCATTTCAAATATAGTTCTTTGCTCTTAGCCCCATATATAATATAATATCTAAAAAAATTTATTTACATATATATATATATATATATATATATATATATCTTTTACTATATTCTGATTAATTTATTTCACAGCTCAGAGGATATAAAGTGACAGATGTAAATCGTACGCGGAAAATTGGTATCGCCTGTAAAAATTTTCAAGACCTTAAGCGAAAAGCGTGTTCGAAATTAAATGTAAGTACATGTATAACATAATAGATTGTATAGATAAATTAATTTTATATTATTTAACGTTAAATTCTCTCTGCTTTTGGTTATTATACGCAATATACACGTGCTACACGAGAAAGACATCCTATCGTATGAATAATGCAATATATTTTCACGCAATGTAACTGTGTATGATAATGTAACGAAATTTATCACGTAAATGCTGCACATCTACATTCATCTAGTATTCGGATGATGCATCGTTTTGAGCAGGATTTACATATCTCGAAAGCATTGTAACGTTATTTATCGCTTTAATAATGGAAGTTTTCGTTTAAACTAATAGAGCAATTAGCGTTGTTTAATACATAAGGCATTTAAAGTAAACTTCAATGCAAGTATTGATATAATATTGAATAAAAAACAAATATTGAATATTAGAATTTATAAATGTTGTTCCTTTTTTTTTAATTAAAAATGCATTATTTATAGAATGAAGACGCAACACAATAAAAAACAGCATACAAAACATATGTATTGTGTCAATCATTGCTGCTCAACTTATGCTTACATTCAATGCTTTGCTAGAATGTGAAAGTCCTTGCAATCGAAAGGAAGAATAGCGCCGGGTGCATGTGCACTAAACGATTCACCATTATGTTTGTTCGACTCACACTCGCACGCTTAATGCATCTATTCTTACCCCTGTATTGTTTATGTAATAATTACTTAAATTATACCGAACAAATCGCGCTTTTGTTTCGATTTCCTTCTAAGTTGCTTTGCAATCATTACTGTATCCATGATTTCTAATCAACCGGTCATACAACCATGCGCGACAACTTACAAGAGGTAGGAGGAGATGCCAATTGGAACAGACACGTGACGTAAGTCATAGTGTCTGCTTAATATAGCGAAAAGATAGAAAATCATTTATTAAACATGTAGAGAGATTTGCATCGACTAACAAAAATACCCTGCATAAATTATGTAACCTTACGATCTTATTTATGCGCTTAAAATATCGCTCCTCCCCTCGATCTCTTCATCAAGGACGAAATTGATAAATGGTATATATAGAGATATTATATATAGTAGCACTCAAGAAAATGAAATTATACGAAGGCTTGTACTATTATGTCCGAGTATATTTTCGAGGCTTTTACGTGACAATCGACATTTTCTAGTAACAAATCTTTATTTCCAAAATTTTAATTAAAGTACGTGCGACTCGCATTTTTTTATTCTTTATAATATTGTAGAAGAAATGCATCAATTATTACAAAAATGAAATATTTTATTTACCATATTTAACATGTCAAACTTTACTGTATGATTTATTTTACATCTTGACATAAGAATTTGATAAAGTTGCGGTGACGCGACGAAAATACCGATAAAGAAACATATATATACTCGTATATATAAATATATCTATTCCGGATCATGGTCGTATCAATACCGCGAGCATTTTTCAACGCCTACCCTTGATATGAAAGAGGCCGGAAGCGTACAGATAGTATTTCGAGGGTTGGTAGGTAGGTAGGTTAATCCGGTTGCAGCGCGTCCTTGAAATCCGCATCCACCCGCCCACAACCGCTGGCTTTATCGAACCAGCCGGGCCAGGGTCAGGAAATAATCTCAATGTCAAGGGCGTGTGAATCCGCTTTCCGCGTTGACTTAAAAGTCGACCAAAATACTTTCAATATATACCATCTTCAATTCGAAACGAAGCAGAATTATGAGTCTTGAACCCGCATGACATCTTCGAATGAATTATTAAGGAAAACGATTAGAGTACAAATTCTAAGTCAGCTTTATATATACAGATATGATTAAAAATCATTACGAAATTGTCGTATAATTTATACATGATGTGAAAGATGTTTTATATTAATACAATAATTGACGAGTCAACATTCTAGTTGCGTTCAGCTATTGATAACATTGATTTACAGTCGTATTATAATCATTTACTATTGGGAATGACGCTATGTTATAACTAATAAAATTCTTGGTAAAAGATGTGAACGAATTACTTTCTGTTTAATTATTTTCAAACTTATCGAACTTCAGAGATTTTAAACTTTCAACAACTTGGGTTATCGAAAAAAGTTGAAGATCTCACGGATGAAGGATGTACATACATACATGTGGGAGATTGTAGTTCCGACCTTCGTTGTTTCAGACTCATTGAGAGAATGAGAGAAATGTGAGAATGACGCTGTCACACCACGAGAAAAGCGATATAAAAGTTGGTAATCCTTGCGTTTGATCTTCGGAGAATTATTTACGGGAGGGAGTGTATTACATTGTAGCCTTGATGTCTGTTCGAGATATCGAGTATTCTCTTGCATTGCTACGTTATCGATCATTTATTCAAAATACTTTGTTTACGGATTTAATTAATCTGCGACCATGTCCGACTAACAAAAGCTCTTTCGCGCGCGCGTCTACTTCCTTCAATTTCACAATATCTTTCACAGTCAAGAAGAATGACTGAATTAATGATAACTTATTAATAGTAACTTGAAAATGGTAATTTGATATGTTCTTGCAGATAACTAATGATCCAGCAGAAGTGAATGTCTTTCTCTTGGATGGATCATTAATCGATGAGGAATATTTTCACACATTGGAGCCACAGACTACTCTGATCTTACAGAAGCCAGGAGAGAAAGTATTATCTGGTCAGTATAATAATATAATATAGCGTGAAACATAATTAATACATCTCGAAATTAGAATAATTAATGTTATTGTATTTTGGGAATATAAAAAAGATAGATTACATATTATATCACGTATTACATATTATATATTTAGAAATTGAATATTTTTTCTCTAATTATCGAAATAACATTAACTGTTCCGATTTCAATTAATAACGTAGAACTATTATATATCAATAATTAGGCTTACGATTAAAAAGCTGGCTGCAATAACATCGTTAAAGGACTGATAAAGTTATTACATAAAACAGCCGATAGAATTTTTGAATCCAGAAATAATTATTCCGTGCATCGTAGTTTGCTATTTTTTTTTTGTACGAGAAAAGAAACTGTAGAAAAGGTCACGCTGTTTATAACATTTTTATATCAATTTTTCATTTTTCCACGTATAAACTAGACGTGTTATTTTTTAAATGTAAATATATAGATCTTAATAATATTTTCTTTATCGCAACTGACGCGTTTTTAGTGCATTTAATTGTTTAATTTTTGTCAATCAATAATCGTACTTGTTTGTCAACTTTGAAAACTCTCGCTGCTTTTAATATATCTACTACACTTTCTTAATACTCCTCCATTGTACATTTATCATTGTTAGCGCTGTAACTTAGTATATTTTCGTGATTCATTGCTTTACAAATTCAACGTAAGTTTAACACCGTGCAATAACGAATGTGCGCCGCGAGTTTGGCCGCATGCCAATATTAAATATTCCGGGCCAGTATCAGTTTCTCAGAAGTTCACCAATTTCTTGGCAAGGGCCGAGTCGCGCCCTGGAGAAAAGTAGATCGTATATACTTTTATCAACAGCGAAGACGCTATGCAATTCCTTTTCAAGGACGAATGATTTCCCGCAGACGCAGACATTCTCTACGATGCGCTGAGACGCGTGAACATTGATTTCCTCACTGCCGGCGACAAAGTGACGCAATTCCTGACGGAAAATCTTAAGGCAAAGGTCGCTTTATTGAACAAAGTGTTGAACAAAGATGACTCCAAGACGGTACTTAGCGCAAGAGACGAGCATCCGGAGTGGTTTAAAGATTTGGAAACTAATTGCACGACCAAAGTGAGTTCATAATAAGGCGAAAAATCTACCCTGTCATTATACATTAACAATTTATTAACTTATTCTTTCTTGTATTTTCGCTAAACAAACACTTAATAATCTGTATATATTCCGAAAATATTGTATTTGATAAATAATGTAAAGCATGCACATTATTTAATATAATTAATAATTATTGAATTTACAAGCGAGATATCTTGGCTCTTTTTTTTTTGATATTTTAAACATGAAATTAAAACTCTCCAATTAATCCTTTGCTTTACCTACAGGAAGCGTATATGCATCGCAGGTGTCAAGACAGGATACGCACTTATCTATATAAGACAATCGAGCAAATAAGATGCTCGGACGTGTACATGAACAATCGCAAGGCGAGGCAGCAGCTTTTGCGTACGATAGCGTTTTTCAAAATTCAGCTCAAGGAAGATCATTATTTTGGATATTATTTTGATAGAAGCAGAGCGGAGACTGGAAACTCTAAGGATAACAGTGACGAGACCGATTCTAGTCCATGTTACGAGCATTGTCCTTGCAATTTTGGTCATATCAGCGACGAAACGTATCTGCATCAACGGTACCTTCGTCTTCCTCAATTGTCCGATACGAGCACGACTATCCTCGATTCAACCAAGACCGACGAGACGGATGCGAGGAGACTCGTCGAGTCCGAGATAAACGCGAACGATGACATATTGGAAAGTTGTCCCTATCATGTGAAACCCCGAGGAAAGCAAGTTGCCATTTGTGATGAGAAAGGCGAGTTTAAATGCGAGGGCCGGTGGAACGCGAACGGCTGCGCCTACAGTGACCGACACAGAATCAATCCATATAAATCCAGGGAGGAGCTCGCTCTATTCTCCACATGGAATTTGGATCACAAGTAAAATAATGATTAATTATATGAGTATTTTTTTTTTGCTCGTCGGTTTGAAATGCTCAACGACGGGTGACTTTGGGAAATTATTAATCTGCATGCATGCGTTTGAAATTCTTTCGATAACTTAAATTTAAAACAGATTATTCGATATATGCGATATCAATACAATAATAAAATGATCCGGAAAAATTTGGTTATCTTTATTATTTGCAGAATTGAAAGGTCCAGGACACTCGTTCCGAGATTACTACAGCTCTCGCAGCAGGACACGATCAACGAACAGGATATCTACGACTGTTACGACAATCTGTTTACCGTGAAGAATTTAAGGCTAGTTCATATCGTATGCCACGATAAAGGATCGCACAAATAAGCTTCGATTCTGGAGCTGTTATATATATATATATTACGTTAGTAAAAATATGATCATGAAAGCCAAAATGTAATCGTACAAGAGTGCGAGATGATGTATACAGATACATCGTAGAACAGATCTCCTCATTATAGATCTCTACAAATAAGTATGTTTAAGTGCTGTTGATAAAGTATAGATTTAGAGATTATTAATGTTATACAATATCGGTTATACTTCCATTGCGGCATGAAATACTAAGCAATAATGTTAATAAAATGTTATAAAATGTCCTCTAAAGCTTAAAATATTGTAATTTATATCGCGACTTTTTGTCTCTGAAATAGAAAATTTAGTTTCTGGGGCCATTGATGCTAACATGATAATTACAAATTTTGAACATTCTGACGATTATTTTATATAATATGGAAGAAGGAACGTTGAATAAAAAAAACTACGCTCATTTTAAAATATCATTTGACAATGAGTGTCAATTATAGTAGAAGATTTAAAAACATAAATGTTAAAAAAATAATTTATTGTATAAAGAAAAAGAATTGAAAATTTATATGAAAAATATCATAACAACGTCTTCTCAAGTAATTATGATACGTTACTTTGATGATTCCGACTGAAAAATTATTTATTTTATATATACATATATTAGTATAATGCCTTCGAAGACAATCTCCTTGATCATATCATTCTAGCATGTTTTTTTTTTATCCACAAGATTATAATGACCTTTTTATTTAAATATGTTATTTGTATAAATCAATTATACGAATACAGGGTTGCATAAGTCACACGCAATGGAAGAACCGTAATTTATTCCAGCATCTATAAAGGTTGCCAAAATAAAAAAAAAACTGTTGTTTTGGATATATCGTTAAGCATTGAGTATATTCAGTGCTTGTAGATAAAGAAGGGGTTAAAAGGAGCTAAATTACTAAGAAACCTAGGAGCAAAAAAGTCCTCCTTCAGGATCATGTCAGATCACGGAAACTAAGTCTAGCTCTCTGTCGAATCAGATCAAAAACCAACAATAAGTTGATTTGTCTTAATTCAGTGAGCTATTGCTCTTCTTATGCTCCAAGAAAAATATAAAATGGGAAATCTTTCAGACATATTTTTATTCAGACTGCTCGATAAAGAGACAAAACAAAGTTCTGATATATACACATATACATATATACAAAAAAACATATATATATATATATATTCAATTTAGAGAAAAAGAAACAAATACATATGTACGATATTCTTTTATAGATAGAACGTGTCAAAATTTCACGAGTTTGTTTATCTTTTTATTAATTTTTTATTAATATCTAAAGCTTTCATGTTAACAAAAAATTGGAAAAAAGATTTTTTTTTAATACTCAATTATAAATATTTCTGTAACTCAAATTAAAGTCTTCTTAAAAAAAGAATTAAAGTTTGCTCTGCACAAAATTAGATGAAGAATATATATGTATAAAATCTTGTTAGTTGTTTGTATGCTACTCTTTTCTTCCCCCCACAAACAAATTTATAAATATTTCTCCTATCTCAAATTATTTATAATTAAAAAACTATTGATAACATTATTTTCCAAAAAAGCAAATTTAAATTGGAAAAAATGCGAATAAAAGAAAATGTAGAACTCCTTGCAAACACATCTTTATATATGCGTTATATACTGGATGTTTTAGAACTTTTTGGCTGTACGAAATGGTGTTTCTTTCATCGAAAGGCTATTTAACTAACTGAAAAATTGCACAAAAGTATTAAATTATCATTAATTTTTCATTGTTTGAATTATCTTCAATTCAGTAACACATTTATTAAACTTTTATACAATATTATTGTGAGTGTGTATATATATATATATAACTTTTTTGTGCAAACCACAATATTAATCATTAATGTTAATTTAGAGATTGATGTTTTAATAATTTTAAATAATCGAATGATGTACAAACACTTTCATCTTTTATAAAATATTTATATTAGTCAGATTTATGTATTATTGTATTTTTTGAAATGTTCATATTTTTTCATTATATTTGTACTATACATCTTACAACTATATCAATTGAAAAAATATTGAAAGATAATGTTCCTAATTTAGTCGAATAATTTGATTACTTTATGTGAATGTTCGTGTATTGTGTGTATTATTTTATACCGTGTATTGTTATTTCTAGAATGTAAAATTATAAAAACAATTGTTATGATTTTGACCAATGTACGTCTTACACTTCTGAGTAGACTTTTGCCATTATCTTTTATTTATTTAGAGGATTGATATAGATAGACATTGATATGATCGCGTATTAATCATACAACTATATTTGCTAATTTTATCTCATTGTTAATTAACGATGTTGATGGTAAAGCGTGCCAGTCTAAATCTTAATCATACCATTATATTTGTGTTAATTTTGCATCATAAATTGTTAGTTAACAATATTGATGATAAAACATACCAGTTTAAATTCTAAGTACTTATATATATGTATATATCATATTTATAGTTGATGTTTTATATAACGATATTTTAACAAAGAATCACGTTACTTTGATACATCCGTTACAATTTTACAAGTTATGCCAAAGCAATATAGAAGAAAGATACCAAATGTGGAATATGTTTCTCTAATATAGAATATCAGAATATATAATGAATAGTGATTATAGTATAACGCAATTAAACTATTTAAAACTGTCGTAAGACTACACGCATGGCATTATTGTATATATAATGCCAGAAGCTATTGCTTTATGATTAAATTATCTCTCCTAAAAAACTTAATATTTGATAATTTTTTTACGTTACATACATACGATGGCAATGTTGTATTAGTATCCTATAACATTTTAATTACATAATATTGCAATAATAGATAATCAAATGATTATAAGTTTTTTGTATAATTTAATAAGATATTTCATATATTCGCACCTTTTTCTTCTTAAACGCAAATTCGCGTTTTCTATATACAATTCTTTCTTGTATACAATTTTTATATTATTTTAATATGCTTTCTAAACCTAATAAATATTTTTTATATATGTGAGCGATACAACAATTTTTCAAACGAACATTTAATCGACATATCGGAAAGAAAATTTTTCATAAAACAAAATGTAAATGGTATTTTTTCCATATTTGGTATCCTTCCTCTATAAATTTTTCATCGTTTTTATTGATAAAGTACGTGGCCAATTTGAGTGGCCTGTTATTTTCAATAAATTTTTAATCAATAGTCAATGCAGTTCAAAGTTCTGTTCGTATATATATATATATATATATATATATATATATATATATATATCTATAAAAAATGGTATTATTAAATATATATATATATATATATATATATATATATATATATATATATATATATATATATATATATATATATATATATATATATATATATATATATATATATATATATATATATATATATATATATATATATATATATATATATATATATATATATATATATATATATATATATATATATATATATATATATATATATATATATATATATATATATATATATATATATATATATATATATATATATATATATATATATATATATATATATATATATATATATATATATATATATATATATATATATATATATATATATATATATATATATATATATATATATATATATATATATATATATATATATATATATATATATATATATATATATATATATATATATATATATATATATATATATATATATATATATATATATATATATATATATATATATATATATATATATATATATATATATATATATATATATATATATATATATATATATATATATATATATATATATATATATATATATATATATATATATATATATATATATATATATATATATATATATATATATATATATATATATATATATATATATATATATATATATATATATATATATATATATATATATATATATATATATATATATATATATATATATATATATATATATATATATATATATATATATATATATATATATATATATATATATATATATATATATATATATATATATATATATATATATATATATATATATATATATATATATATATATATATATATATATATATATATATATATATATATATATATATATATATATATATATATATATATATATATATATATATATATATATATATATATATATATATATATATATATATATATATATATATATATATATATATATATATATATATATATATATATATATATATATATATATATATATATATATATATATATATATATATATATATATATATATATATATATATATATATATATATATATATATATATATATATATATATATATATATATATATATATATATATATATATATATATATATATATATATATATATATATATATATATATATATATATATATATATATATATATATATATATATATATATATATATATATATATATATATATATATATATATATATATATATATATATATATATATATATATATATATATATATATATATATATATATATATATATATATATATATATATATATATATATATATATATATATATATATATATATATATATATATATATATATATATATATATATATATATATATATATATATATATATATATATATATATATATATATATATATATATATATATATATATATATATATATATATATATATATATATATATATATATATATATATATATATATATATATATATATATATATATATATATATATATATATATATATATATATATATATATATATATATATATATATATATATATATATATATATATATATATATATATATATATATATATATATATATATATATATATATATATATATATATATATATATATATATATATATATATATATATATATATATATATATATATATATATATATATATATATATATATATATATATATATATATATATATATATATATATATATATATATATATATATATATATATATATATATATATATATATATATATATATATATATATATATATATATATATATATATATATATATATATATATATATATATATATATATATATATATATATATATATATATATATATATATATATATATATATATATATATATATATATATATATATATATATATATATATATATATATATATATATATATATATATATATATATATATATATATATATATATATATATATATATATATATATATATATATATATATATATATATATATATATATATATATATATATATATATATATATATATATATATATATATATATATATATATATATATATATATATATATATATATATATATATATATATATATATATATATATATATATATATATATATATATATATATATATATATATATATATATATATATATATATATATATATATATATATATATATATATATATATATATATATATATATATATATATATATATATATATATATATATATATATATATATATATATATATATATATATATATATATATATATATATATATATATATATATATATATATATATATATATATATATATATATATATATATATATATATATATATATATATATATATATATATATATATATATATATATATATATATATATATATATATATATATATATATATATATATATATATATATATATATATATATATATATATATATATATATATATATATATATATATATATATATATATATATATATATATATATATATATATATATATATATATATATATATATATATATATATATATATATATATATATATATATATATATATATATATATATATATATATATATATATATATATATATATATATATATATATATATATATATATATATATATATATATATATATATATATATATATATATATATATATATATATATATATATATATATATATATATATATATATATATATATATATATATATATATATATATATATATATATATATATATATATATATATATATATATATATATATATATATATATATATATATATATATATATATATATATATATATATATATATATATATATATATATATATATATATATATATATATATATATATATATATATATATATATATATATATATATATATATATATATATATATATATATATATATATATATATATATATATATATATATATATATATATATATATATATATATATATATATATATATATATATATATATATATATATATATATATATATATATATATATATATATATATATATATATATATATATATATATATATATATATATATATATATATATATATATATATATATATATATATATATATATATATATATATATATATATATATATATATATATATATATATATATATATATATATATATATATATATATATATATATATATATATATATATATATATATATATATATATATATATATATATATATATATATATATATATATATATATATATATATATATATATATATATATATATATATATATATATATATATATATATATATATATATATATATATATATATATATATATATATATATATATATATATATATATATATATATATATATATATATATATATATATATATATATATATATATATATATATATATATATATATATATATATATATATATATATATATATATATATATATATATATATATATATATATA